CCTATCGCCTGGGTATCCGCGACCAGACACCCAACGCGCGGTTGCAGGTCAGCGATCCTGGAAATTGAAGCAACGGGAGGCAGGGTGCTTTGCGCAACGACACCACATATCACAATGGTGGCTCTCAGCAACATGCTACTCAGATTCGAAACCATGCACCAAATCAACTCCACACACAGTAGGAGATCATTGGGTCATGCGAAATCGTACAACGGAGAAGAAAAAATACATCCGGCTCACCTTAGCCCTGTGCATGTTTGTGCATACAGGACAGATGACTTTCGAGCAATGCTTGCAGAACTTTACTGTCCGGCAGGGCACCATGCACGCTTGACAGGTTGTCGGAGTTTCGACAGCCGGCGACTGAACAGTTTTCTCAACAGTTTTGCATGCCTCGCAAGCACCCATGTCATCTGCAAGTTCAGCGAAAGGCCTCTCGTTGCAGGAGATTGGACTGCTGATAGTGGGTAGTTTTCTGAAAGTGAGGCGGCAATTGGGAAAGATAGAGAGAGAGAGAAACAGTCTTTGTTCGCAAGGTAGCGTCTTCATTTTCAGCAAAGTTGTCTTATTCACTCAGGACACGGAATAGATTAACGAAACATGCAAATATCTAGAGGTTGTCTTATGATTGATCGTTGTCCTTATTTTTCTTGGTATCTTGGACGTCAAGGAAGGGCAACTGATAGTTATTTCCTTCTTTCACGGTAAACTTAGTGTGTCGAAAGATCAAATCCAGTAATTCTTTGAAAGCGTACGCCTGGTTCCTCTTGATTATCAAAGTATCTGACCTGGAATATCGGGGTGGCCGAGCGGGAGACTACCTGCTGGAGTCTCTGGAGAACTGCATCGGCAATAAGAACACACGGAGGCAACTCCATCAATGTCCCATTCGTTCGCTTTTAGACCTGGCTGTATAAAGTGAACAAAGTCTTCAGATAGAGCTGTGGGAGCTTGATGGTATATGCCAGTTTGAGTAAGTGATCGGTTTCCTCAAATATATCCAGGAGACAGACGTCAATAATGGTGATTCCCAGTGGGAGTAGGATAACGGAAAATAGCAATATGACACTAGACACCACTATCGTTTCGTCTGTGTCTACTTTAAGAGCTTGGATGCTTGTCACAAACTCTTCAACCGGCATCACCATATACTTGGAATCCCTAAGAAGGATATAAACTGACAGCCTGAGTTTTTCAATGTCACGTAGGGAAGTGGTGGAGTGGAAATCGCACGGACACCAACTGACAATATACCGTAATTAGAAGCCGAATTTGGTCTGTGGTCACGTAAAACCGCTGAACCACACTTTCGTCCTTAAGAAAGCGAGGGTGCTTCGCAAAAAATAAAAAGAAATTGGGCAGACTGATGCCCGCAAGTCGTTTAAAAACAGTGCAGTATCCAGCAGAAAATACATTGCACCCCCAATTATAAAGTCTTGACCACCGCGCCAGTTCAGCACATTCATAAAGCAGCCTTACGTAAACCCTAAAAAACTAAAAACAAAATGTGACGAAAACAAGTCCCTTATCTGTAATTCGCACATTTCCTCTCCGTGCACGAGATATTATATGCTGATAGAGCGGATATTTATTTGTTGATTGGCAAAATTGCTTAGCAGGACAGATTATTAGGTTGACAGGCGAGAGAGAAATACGATATAAATACGCTTCATATTGAGCAAATGGCCTCTGTTCACAGAGATCACCGGATAGATTAACAAATACTGAACAAATCTAGAGGTTTAAATACACGTCTGTTATAGAAACCGTACAGAAGGCTAATATGCCGATATGCAGCAAGAAGCCTCGGCGCACAGTACGGACAGACTGAGCAATCGTTAATAAAGAATGGAGGAGATGGGATAGGCAAACTCATCAAGAATCCGATGAGCGAGGTGTTTGACCGTTGTAAAGTGTCAACCTGTTAAAGTATTAGCTAAAATGCACGATAAATAACGGCAGCTGAGGACAGTATTCAGAAGATACCGAATAAACGCAAACGTTCGCGTTCTAGGTATTTGCATGAATTAGGAAGTAGGCGTATCAAGCACCGGATCAATTAGTTCATTGTCGTGAGCATTCAAACGCTTGCAGGAGTCCATCTTCGGAGCTAAGAATCACCACTCAAAAGGAGGGTAATTATAGTGTGCATAGGTAAATCAACTGTCAGATGTCGGAGGCCTTTCGGCTGACGCTTGGTTTATGGTACTCAGATGCTTACTCCGCCAACAGGCATCTAGGCCTCCCGGGGTTATACAAAGTCTTACATCTTTATGTGAGCAAAGAACAGAACAAGGCCAAACTGAACGTAGGAATTGCAAGCGAAGAGGAATCCATGAAAAACCAGATGGAGCAGGAGGCCTGATCACAAATACCTTCTACCGTGACGTTACACTAATCGCTGTTTATGACCTTGACTTCCCTGAGAGTTATTTAGCGTAAAACACTATAACTGCCCCATTTTGGTTGATAATAGCCTGTTGACCTCTAACGCTTGATTAGCGTATGCCCACTTTAATAAACCTCTTCAATGGTTGCTGCTTCTCATCTCTGAAGAGGGACTATTGACAGAGTTCCAAAGCTCAGGACAATAAACCAACTAATTCAGTGCTTGACACTACTTCTTTCTTATCCATTCAGACGATGCGTTTAAAAATCAAAGTTTTTTTTAAAATCACGACGGATAAAATTACCGGAGAGCCTTAGTAAATGAGGGGGATAATGCAAGCATTTATAGATCGCCAGATTATGACTTGAGGCGCGTAAAGGGAAGGCAACCAAAGAAAATTATGTAAATTTACAAATTTTATTGAAAAAGTTCTTGACTTGAAGAGAAAATGAGAGATTATATGTCGGAATAACGCCAAGGTACCGGAAATAGGATAACTGGTTGGACAGCATTTCTAATGATGCAGGACTGTCAGTGAGTCGCGATCGGCAAACGCACTGAACTGATTTCTTTCCATTCAGTAGGAGGCCAGTGTTTACCAAACACGATGATACGTCGTAAAGACCATCTTTCAGAACCGAAGATAGGTCCGGCTTTTGAGAGGATGACCAGCAATCATATCGTCAGCATATCTTACATGCAAACATTAATTTGGAGACTATAGGTAGTCATTGTGGAGTGAAAAGAGGCGAGAGTATAGGGTAGAGCCTTGACGCACTCCGCAGTTTTGGGGAAGGACCATGAAGTTTTACTTGTCGCATTGGACGAATCGAGTATGGCAGATTAAAGTGTCCATGATTACAGATAAGATTATTCCTGCGGGAGCTCGAAAGCTAAAAAAATACATTTCGTTCCAGTGCTCGATCATTTGTCTTCTTTACCAATAGACATACATGGATTGCGAATATTCTCTCTCATTTGCTTTCAATCAATTTTTGCTGATAAGGGCGACAGTGGGGTTGCCCACAGGAATGTGCGCCAATTGAGTTTGTTGCAAGCAGACCACCACATGCTGGAGTAAGCTGAAGCTGCCAATCAAATGAGCTGCATGGAGCACCCTAACCGCACCAACCTTGCTGCGGCTATTGCTTATAGATGAACTAATAAATTAGCGAGCATCCTGTAATCGTCGGGCATTTCAGAAGCGTAGGACCTACTTCAAGGGAATGTGCAACAGTGGCCCACCTTCTCCAATGAATTTGGCCAAAAAAATTAAAGGCACATTTTTTGAGGCTTCAAATAAGATTGAAAGAGCAGTGTATGCACATGTTCTATCTGCCACTTTCGAAGGCTGCGATTTAAGTGATACAGCTTCCTTCTCGTTCCAACCATCGCACCGTCTTCGTTATGATTATTTCCCGGAACTTGCCGCTTAGCTTGCATTAGTCTTTTGAATGTTTCCAGAGGATATGCCTGTTATACAAATAATTAGTGTGAGATGGAGCTTCTCAGATCGATATAGCAGAGGTTGCGAAGAAAGTACCCACATCAAGCAATCTTATTCAACTTTAAACCGCTCATTTAAGACATTTTGAACTTAAGGAATTTTTACTTATTACAATTTCAGTGGTAGGAGAGATAGTCTACTTTTTGAAAATTGGTCACATGTTCCTTGGCAATCACACTGCTCTTTTTTCCTCAAATACGCATTCGTAGAGCCTATTAAAACAGCGCACACTTGAACACCAATAGACGGGTCAGCCACTGAGCAATTTTGCTCTTTGTGCCCGGCACGAAACTTCAAAAGGCACGTATTTATTTCATGAGAAGCGACTTTAAGGATCACGGTTAGTTTTGGCAGCACTTAACTTGCTCTCACACAAAATATTCCTGAATTTTGTTCTGGTTGACTAACGCAGCTGAAGGGCTTATCAGAACGTGAAAATTAGGAAATGCGAAATGACAAACTGGTTCGCTTTTTATTTATTTAAAATTACTTGTCCGCACAACGCACTGGTCGATCAGTATGCAGCGCTGATTCCAAAATCTTGGACGACGGTATCTCAAGAACCTGCCCAGTAGAGGCTACTTTTTTGGTCGAGTGTCCTGCAGTTTCTGTTCGGAAATTCTTAAAATAAGACGCCCTTATTCCACTTATCAGCTCATTTCGGACAATGGACTTCATGTATACAGCCTAAGTGCCAAGGTAGGTTGTTCGTTGTGTTTGGCGTTGGAAAACGTTAAGAGCACCTTACTCCCTTTTGCTGTTTAATATGCATAGACGGTGAACAAACATTCTGACAAAACACATATAACGCTAAAGGCGTTTGGAGTGCATTTATTCGTCAAGTGAAAAATATATGTGCACACACCCTCTCGATAAAGTCATGAACTGAAAATAACCTACTGTAAGCTTGCTGCCATTGTGACAGGCAGGCAGTCAAAGTCACACCGACACAACAATACAGGACCGTGCAGGGTCTTCAATGCACTGCAATTAAAGTACGCAAACAAAAGTCAGACTCTTGAAATGCCAAATATTACCACAGACGCACTCCAGATACTCAACGGTCAACCGGTGTCTAGGTTGGTAATCGAGCAAAATATTTGACTGAAACAAATAAGATACTCCTTTTTTAGCGGGACTATCCGAGTTTGTGTACTTTATTTTCCCACATATTACAGCTAAATGGCAAGATGCGGAGAATGCCTGATAAATTTTCTCTACTTTAGTACAGCGTCTGAATATCTATATACGGATGCAACCGATGACTTTTCGATTGACAATGGCAAAATTGATCATCGTCTGTAGGTGGCCGAGTAGTGGCGGAGGATAGGAAACGTATTCACTACTTGTATGCATTAAATTTGGTGGAAAATGTATTCCCTACCATCACTCGCCCACAAGTTCGCGGGGATGATGACGTGGGGATGCAGGTGATTCGGGGTTGATGTTCAAAGAGTATGAATTCATCCACAACCCGAAATTTCTAGAATGTTGTAGATGGACCTAAAAAGCAAACTAGCTCATTTTTTGACTGTTTTGAACCTAAAGTGCGTTTTAGGTGACACTTTTAAGGATAATTTGATATTATGCATACCCTCCGGAAATTACGACGGGGGGATCCGGGGATGACGACGGGGTGAGCATGAGGTTTGCAACCCAGATATTACCATCTTCTTTGCCAGCACACGCCCAAAACTGGGCGAGGGTGATGACGGGGAATCCGGGTGTATCCAAAGTTGCGGATTAAGGTGTGTGTATTTTACCACAATCCGAAATTTCCAGAATGCTGTGGTTGGACCTAAAAGGCAATCTAACGCATTTGTGACCATTTTTGAACCTATAGTGTGAGCATTGGGGATATGTGGGTTGAAAACCCAGTTCTCATCCCCACCGATTCCCCGTCGTCAACCCCGGATCACCCTCTATCTTCCTGGAATTTAAGTGGCGGATCCGGAGAGTTGGCTGACATGGTTTTTATGAAACAAAATGTTAAATAATGTTTGATTAATTATTAATAGTAAGATTGGTTTTTTGGAATAGAGTGCACGGTTTTTCCTTTGCTAAGAGTAATATTTGTAAAACTGTTCACGTCATATTCAGTGGTCAGTATTGTTTTACGACTTTCAAACAATATGAAAATGTTCTAATCACCGTTTACAGTATATGCGGTACTTTAAAATTGATACAAGTAATTTGACCAAAAACTCTTCATCGGCTAGCATTTGCATAAAGTACACATACTATTTATGAACAAGACGGAGGAATATTTGTTACAGGGGCATTAGCATCTTACTAATAGTAGTATTAATTATGTCAACTGTATGCTTGTAGCTACAGTTTATGGGGACAAATTCAGGTCTCTAGGCCCACACTTAAATTGGTCTCAACTCTTTAGAGACTTCGTTATTTATGCTTTTTCGTGAGTACAAACGATGAGAACGATAGAACTCTTATCAAACGAGCAAAGTTATATTTAAGAAGCAAATAACTTTTTTTCATGTGGAAAGTCGGAGAAACTCAGCGGCATTAAAACCGTTACATTAGACAATGTTGATACATACAAGGCAAAAGTAGCTTATGTAACCCCACACATATACCACTAGTCCCAGCATTTTGTCCTGCAAAAAACGAAGGCTATAAAGTTTTGTGAGGTGTGTAAATAGGATAGGTAGAGAAGGAAATTTTTAGAAGTAAGTGTTAAGTGAAAAAATGTAGTCGAAGTGTAGGCAGAGAAGGAAATTTTTAGAAGTAAGTGTAAAGTGAAAAAAATGTAGTCGAAGAAAGGAAATTTTTAGAAGTAAGTGTAAAGTGAAAAAAATGTAGTCGAAGTTGCAAGTTTTTAGAAGTAAGTGTAAAGTGAAAAAATGTAGTCGAAGTTGCTTCCCGCGTTGGTAGCAGGTTGTCCCGCATGTAAATTGAGGCTGTGCGCGGCATTACGCGCCGCGGACTATACTTATATAACTACAGAACCCTTAGTTGGGCCACAGGTAAGTTGAAGTAGACGACCTCCTAACCACCATTTAAATTTTTCGGGAAATTCAAGATACCTGGAATTTGATAATCGGGTTTTTTCGCAATAAGTTAACTGATAATATAGATTAGGGGAATCTACAGATATAAATCAACAACACTTCTAAATACAGTAAAATAGAAATGTATTTAGCATTTATTAAAGTATATTCCTCTGCGTGTCCTAATTTCCTGCC